GAAACTCTAAGACTCTCAACACGTGCTACCAGCGTCACTTGACTTCTGCTGTCATCACGTGACCCCCACTGTCGTAACACACTAGCGAATCTTCTAGAATACTCGTCACGTGGCCCCACTATCGTAACAATATGTAAGGATGAGCAGACTGGCTGGTCAGACTTGTGGGATCAGTTCAATGGGAGAAGGGAAAGTGTAGATAGCCTTGTTGCTTTGTGCTATAAAACTTCAAACAACCAAACCAATGCTAGAAGAGAGCTTTTGAAATGAATGGTTTACATTTAAATAAGGTAAAGATTGGCCTGTTTGCAAGAGCTATTCACTCAGCTGTAAGGGAAGTTTTAAACCAGGACTAGATAGTAGTGCAAACAGGATAAACTAAATGCAATAAAAAAAAGATGCAGAGAAACATTTTAGCAGGAACAAAGTGTAGAAGTAGTTCTAAGCATAGGCTTAATTGTGACTATTGCAATGCTAGAAGTATAAGAAATAAAACAGATGACTTTAGAGCACTGGTAGAAATTGTGGATTTTGATATAATGGGAATAACTGAAACATGGAAACATAGATGATTTTAATGACAAAACTTTCTCCAAAATACAGGGCTACAGGTTATTTAATAAGAATAGGGTACTAAAGAGAGGCGGTGAAGCAGCTTTATGTGTAAAATATGAGTTAAATTCTGTTGAAATTGAGGATATCAAAGATAACAGCAAGGAGACTGAATTCATTTGTGTTTCTGTTAGCAGATATAAAGGTAAAAGGCTTATAGTGGGAATTTTGTACAGACCACCAGATGCTACTGATGAAATTAATGAGACACTTTACAGTGATATTAAGGTTTTAGCTGCTAATAAGGTTATAATTATGGATGATTTTAATTTCAGTCATATAGTATGGGAAATTTTAAGAGTCAAATCATGTTAAGGGATTGTGTTTTCATCATCATATGTTTTTATTGCATTTAATACTGCAAATGGTAGGGCTAAAGGTAAGAAATATACTTTTTACAGAGTAGAATTTATCCACAGCTAAGAGTTTTATTTTTCTAATACAGTATTTGGAGACCTTTGGAAGGGATTTCCTTCTGATGTGATGGATACAGTATATCTAAGGGAATTATTAATAAATATTTGAATGATAAGAACTAGTTATGAGTGTTTTATTGTTATTTCAAAGTTTAGTTTAATGGGTGGTGGGAGGAAAGCCTAGATGGACCAACAGGTCCCTTGTTGTCCTTAAATTATATAACTTATGTTCAACTAATTGATTACACTGGTCAACCAAAATCAAACTTTTTTCTCTCATCAAAGATGTAAATACTTTTCTAGATCAGTTTGCACATTTATTCCAAAACTGTTTTATTCTAGCACATCTAGTTATCGAAATATAACTAGTGTTAATTTCAACACAATTTAGGTAATAATCACACATTAGGCTAGTTAACGTTAGAACTTTATTCATTTTTCAATACAATTCCCATAAGTGTTATATGCACCATACACTTAGTTTAATTTATACAGTACAAAGTTATGAAAAAGAAATGTACAACTTCAATTATAATTAAGGCAATAACCTTTCAAATTTGGTCGGTCTCCTCACAACAACTTGACATGCTAGAGGAAAACCCAAAACAGATTTGGAAGCAGCATCCCAAGAGCTATCTAGCCAACTTGTGGGCCAGTGTTATTGATGAGTATACTAGAATGAATGGCAACTGCCTATTGTGAAAAAACACAAGTGCAGACAAAAGATGGAAGACTTTTCAAATGTCACCCTCTAAACTTGTGTTTTTTTTACATTAGGCAGTTGCCATCCATTCCAGTATACTCATCATGAATACTTCCCTAAACAAAGCATCGAAGAATAATAGGTTATTCTCACATGAGAACAATGAAAAATAATAATAATCAGAAACAATAATTTCAATTAGTTGATTATTTGTATCATGAAATTCATAGATTAAGCTGAAGCACCTAGAATTAGTTGAAAATAATAAATAGAAATCATAACTGCAATACTTCAAATATTCATAGTTATAATTGAAAACATAAATTTGGCTTTGTTGATTATTTTACGACACAAATTTACGTAATCAATGCTCATAGGTGATTAATTGTGTTGTTTAATCGAGTCATTGCCTAGCTATAGTATGAACCACTAAATACCGTAATCATGACAACATACCCCAAAACATTGAGCACTTTACAAACACTTTTGCACTCATAAGTGAAATATATAAGAATAAAGAAACTTCTATAAATACCACAAGTATACAAACACAAAGAGAAACTTATTTTCTTAGGAAGTTTTATTTCTCACAAATATTTATAAAATCAACAGATTCTACAAGAAGATCTATATCCTCTTCTAGAATATTCACACTTTAGAAATTAACTAAAAACAGCCAAACAACAAACAGCAACCTTTTCATTAAACATGTTGTTCACCAAGTTAACGGAAATTGTGAATACTTACATACTAAATTACAGTCAATTAGCAAGTTATAGGACATAAGGATGTTAACCAACTGATGAAGAACCACGACACTTTTATACCAGAACAAACACTTGCAGTTAGTCACCAAACTAAAGGAAACTGCAAATGTATTGAGAAAATCAGAGAAATTGAAAATCTGGAAGATAAACAAGATAATTACATAGGAACAGCAGGAAAACAACACTAAAAAGAAATATTTCACTCCCAACCAAATTTTAGCCTATATCTGTTGTGAAAATAAAACAACAACAACAAAAAAAAAATACTGAAGCTCTGACTTCATGAACACAAATTTAACTATGTAAAAATATCCAACATCATTCCAATGTTACTCTTACCAAGGCAGACTCTTGACTACAAGGTAAAGTACAAACCAACTGCTATATAATAAATTCTAGACACACCAAAGTAGTTAAGCATTAGAAAATTTAAAACTTCTCTGAACCATCTAATTCATATAAACAAAAGTTATTTGAACCCAATATCATCATCAAGATTTATTTTAAGGTTTAATTTACTCACAACATTCAAGAATAATATGAATAACTTTTGTTTCAGAACTTTTGGTAGAAATAAATTTAAGTATTGTTTTTTAAGGCTCGGAAGTTTATAATTTTATGAAGTAATTAAAATCAGATTTTAATAGGAAAATGAAAGTTCTTCAACTTATTTCAAACAAATGCACAAATGTATTTATTATTTCCTTTTTAAACCTTGAATTAAAAGTAATTTAAAAAACTGTACAAAAAATTCCCATTTTGAAGACTATCTCAATAAAAATTACTATTTCCATTTCTCAATACACATCATTATATACACTGGTTTGAACTCATTAATACTGTAGTCATTTCTAAAATTTTAAGGAAGATTATGATCATATTTTTAACTGGTACAGGAGTATTAACATGGCAAATTCAGTAGCAAGAGAGTAAAATTATCATCAGAAATTAAACTTCAATCATATAAGCTTGACAAGTGGTTCCCAACTGAAAATCAGCTAATTTCTTATCACAAAATTTTATGGACAGTTTTCTATAATAAAGTAGTTTTATACTATATAAAACAATACATTTCAGTAGGTATATTTTAAACTAAACATTTCTTTATTCAACTGTCTTGCAGACAGACACTGGTTTATAGACTGGCAGTTGGGAACCACTGTGCTAGACTACTCAACATCACTTATTTCTGATGTTACATATCAAGTAATACTAAATCAGATCACAAATGTCTATTTAGTTATTTAGTTTTCCTTGGTTTCAGATGGAAAACTTCTTGATCTTATTTTTTACTTAAAAGTACACCCATGTTTCCTGTTCTTGACAATACAGTCAAGCCTTAAAAAAAATCTTGAATTTTTTGACAAAAACCTGTAAAATAGTGGGCAAAATTGTTATTTCCCCCAAATTTTGGTAAAGCAAAGAAATTAGTTCCATATTTAAACACTTTGAATAAAATTACTTTACATTACAAGTGTACAGGATAAGCATTATTTTGAATAAATATCAAATATTTCAGTCAGATGTTGAGGTAGTAAGTTTTTTTTATTATGAAGAACAGATAAGCAAGTGTGAATATCAATACTTTTCATTTTTATGCTCTAATTTTTGATCCTCTTCCCAAGAAAACAATTGAACTCTCAAATTAATGATGTAAAAATCATAAAACAAGATATTTTTCGTCTGGTCTAAGTTTATTTTCCTAGTGATCAAGAAAGTTTGGAATTTAATTTACTTCTGAATTTCAAAAGAAATGATCATTCATGCAGATAGTCAAAGCAAGCAGAAACATTTTTTTAAACAGCAGTGCAAGTAAACACTCCATAATCACTATCACCAATGCTTACTTTTGTGCAGAAAACTTCAGCCAAATGCAATAGAACCAACACAGTGTTGGAGATATTATTCTTACTTTGACAGTAAAAATTTTGTAATATATATTTCTATTATGAGATTATTTCAATAATACTAATTATTACACACATTGAATAACAAAAAACTTAAGTAATATTAATTTTTCACTCTTAATATACCAAAAACAAAGTTTTAATCATTTAGTTTCATTAACATGACACAAAATCTTCCTAATTTTAGTCTCACCTCAAAAAGGCATGAGCTTCCATGCTTCGATTTTGATTACTTGAGCAAACAACAGCAATTTTGAGATCATTTATCATTTCTCTGGACCTATAAAAGTATATTTTCACTTTAACGATGCTAGTTAGCATTTGCTGTTAACATGCATCTAGTTATACTTTTTTTATAGTTCTTCAACTCCTAAAAATTTTTTATAAGTAAATCTGTTTTAAATTTAATAAGCTAAGGCAATATGCTACTTCACTCAAGCACTTACAAGATTTTATGTTAAACACACAAATTGAAATGAAAATATGACAGCCACGACGTACAAATAAAATAGTACTATTTTAGTATTTAGTTTAACTACCACTACTAGTACTACTAAACAGAGACTGCAAAGTCTAGCGTCACAATATATGAAAATAATAAAATAAATCAAAGTTTATGGAATAAAACTAATTTAATAACGTAATATCTATGGTGTTTTGAGTCCACAGTACAGTATTACTATTAGTAACCTAAACAGCAGAGGGTACAGTCCAACCAAAGAATGCATTAGGCCTCTGCTTCACAGATTCTCTTTTCAATTTCACACACTGTCGGTAATACTAATAGCAACAATTAGTATGTCACATTATGTCAGTTTTTGCACTACAAAGTACAAATTAAACTTTGTAAACTAAATCATAGTAATTGTACGGCTCGAGCGCGGAGTATGAGAATAAAAAGTAATATCACCTTCGAATTTAGAAAAGTCACAAACAAATGAAGTATATCTTACACGAAGCAGAACTGAATATAATCTTTAAACTTTAAAATGTTGCAAATTTACATTAACAAATCTCCTATTTCCATACTAACTCTACACTACCGTTCACTAACTTTACTCCTCATTAACACACATTATACGATGCGCCCCCTGTTACTCAGAGCATAAAACAGAGAAACACTGATATTTAACTATTAAATTTTAATTTATAATAAACTAGCTGGAGTACCCGTCCCCTGGACAGAAATTATGTAAATTCATGATTAATGAAAGGTTATCTTAGATACGTGAAAAGTTGCTTTCCTTATATGTAATTGTACTAAACGCCCATAAAAACTGCAAAAAACAAAATGTGAAACCGCAAATTTGCATGTATCTCCGCATGGACCCAACAAACCTTCATGCTAAAGTTGGTAAAGTTCCATCAATAGGGGGCGAAGTAGTGGTAAAAAATGCAAAAATGTCCATAAAACCCACAAAATACAAACAATTTTATGTATCTTCCCATGGACCTAATGAATCTCCATACCAAATTTGGGAAAGATCCATCCACAGAAGGTGATTTGTGGTAAAAAACGCAAAAATGTCCGTAAAATACACAAAATGCAAAACTGAAAATTTCTATGTAGCCCCGCATGGACTTAATGAACCTCCATACCAATTTTGATGCATTCCATCCACACCCTGAGAAGCAGTTACATGAACATACAACGGACAGTACTATTATATGTATATAGATTCTCTAATAACTAATGTTTTATCGAAACCGATAGACACTTAACTACTAATAATTTTCATATATAACATGTAATGTTATTGTTGCGTCATCGAGGTCACGTGATTGGTGTGGCGCCACCTATTTTCTAGAACTATCCTGTACCTTGGCGAATGCTCTAGTATTTACTAGATATAGGGTAGGCTTGTATATAAAAGAGGGTGACAACGTGACGGAACAATAATGTGTGTGTAGGTAATGAGTAATTGAACTGCAGTCAGAGTGAGACGTATTGTTGAAGTTAACGTTCGTTGTTAAAACGTTTGTAAAAAAGCGACTGTTGAAAATAAGTGTATCGTAAAGTTATATTCGGAAAGAATAAACCAGTTTTATTAAGTAAGGACTTGTGTCGTTAAAGTTTCGTCGGAACGAAGTTACGGAAAAAAATCAATTAACAAACGGAGACGTAACATTATAAAATGGTTAAAGCTGTAAAGATTCTTCAAATTTCATTCGTTCCGTCTGTTTAAAAGCTTTTCATATTTTTTAACACATTTAGTATTACCTAAATTATATATGGACTAGAATAGCCTTAGTTCTTAACTGCTATATGTATTGTTACGTCTCCGTTTGTTAATTAACTTTCCGTAACTTCGTTCCGACGAAACTTTAGCGACACAAGTTCTCTCTTAATAAAACTGGTTTATTCTTTCCGAATATAACTTTACTGATACACTCAACTTCAACAATCGCGCTAAAACAAACGCTATAACAACGAACGTGCTCAATAATACTCTCTGACTGCAGATC